ATAGAAAGTTGAAGCGTTGTTCAGACAGACTCCAACTTCTCTCTTCGTAGAACCTCGGCATTGTTGTAATTATAATGTAATTCTTCTGCCAACGAGGTTGTTAGGTGGAACTTTATTAGTGGCCTGACGTTTAGACGAGATCGACTTCCTCAAAGGCCTGAACATGGCTTAAAGCTACGAGTCAGGATTAGGCAACCAGCAGAAGTTCTTCCCAGGGTGCGATGATGGGCTCCCCAAGCACTGAGGGCGCGACACTGTCGCGACTCAAGACCCCACATTGTGTGCTGCCGTGCTGCCAGCGTTATCAACCACGGCATACGTGGTCTCTGCGTCCTCTCGCGTACGACGTACTATCTCGCGTTCTCCCTCTCCTCGCAGCGCTGTGTCTCTCCGTCGTACTACGGCCGGCCTCCTAAGGGAAATTTAGTGTTTTCTATGGTGCTTTTTGCTTTTTCTCCTCACTAATGTTCCTCATTGCACCCCTTGCCTAATGTTTGAACAAAATAACGCATCAATTCAATCCCGACTCGTGCCTTTAAGGTTTCAGATATGTAGTTTAGATCACCAACCGCCTCCTCTCCCTACTTTTTCTTACGGAACGTTAGGAGAAGAAGCGAAAACCCCAAACGAGGGTAGTAAACCACCCAGTCCACCACCGGGGCAGCGCCACTCCATGTAGTTATGGTTAGTAAGTGAGACTGTGCAGTCTTTGTATAAAGGCAATACTTTCGACCTGCACGTCTCAGTGTTTACATCAGTAGCTCACAATGTGGCGCAAACGACAAGAAATCATTTATGGAGGATAGGCACTCATAGCGGTTATTCATTCTGGGATTCCGCGCGTGAATGCCTCAAGCGCTTTCCTAGCGGAAATCTCAGTCTCGTATGCTAGGATTTTGCACTTTACATCAAAGTCATTTCCGTGATGCTCTTCAACTAAATGCTTGCCGAGCGGTGTTGTTATATTGCCGCGCCTTTTTCCAGCAAGATGTTCCTTAACGCGTATTGCTAGAGTCCTTCCAGTTTCCCCTATGTATGTTGCGTTACACACTTGACATTCAATCTGGTAGATCACGCCACTTTTGGCACAATCTCCAACTGAACCGTTCGGACAT